ATTTCAAGCTTTGAAATTGGTTTAATCCAAGTCTTCTAAAAAGACACATTCGCTTTATATGATGAACAGATTTTAATATAGGCTTTTATTTACATAGGCTACATATAAATATTGATCAATTACCATTACAAAAATTTAAATCTTAAACATTTGCTCATTCTGTGTATTTGTGTCTCTAAAATAGGGTAACTTTGTTGCAAAAGCTTACAGCAAAAGGAAGCATGATTTCAAATTTGATTTCAAACTGAATTGAATTTACAAAAAAGGACAAGTACACAATCAGTAATAAAATGATTAAACAAATGACCTCAGTTCAGTTGAGATACTCGAAATATGACAATACTGAATTTTCATAGACAGTGTTTTAAGAGCCATATATGTTGTTTATTTAGATAAATGGAATATCAGATAGCTTTGACCGGTAATGTCTGTACAATGTAGTGATGCAGTTAGGCAGACTAGGATATTTATATGTACAAATCATACAAATATCCCATTCCAAAACATTTCTAGCTTGCTTACATTGTAAAGAAATTAAAGTTCCATCTTTGATTGTTGAAAGACTTTCTGGTGCATTTCACTAACAGCCAATAAAATTTCCAGTAACATTTTCATCGGTCAGGCGTGGATCTATTCTGACAAAGTTTAATCCAGGAGTAAATAGAAATAATTTAAAAGCACGGAGAGATCGCAATTGCACACAGTCTGAGTGCGCACAAGCAATATCGGAGTGAGAAGACAGTTTATTTGTATAAGTTAGGCCTATTTGAGAGCTCGCATCCAGTTTTCTGCGATTACATGACTGTGTTCTCATGTTACAATAAAGCGCTCGCCACATTTGTGCAGGAATGATTACAATTATGTGGAATACCTGCAATCCCGTGCGGACATTCAGACTCTGTAATTGACAGGAGGCGGATGCGTGTCAAACTCACTGTCGGAGAGGAGAGAGAGATGCAACTTGTGTCTGTGTATATTCGGTAGATATGTGTATATACGCGGCTTTTCCCGGTTCAGATATCAGGGCTGTTATTGGTCCGTTTACGTTCGGATATCTTTATTGGCTACTGAAGTGCCGTCAAAGGTTTGAATATTAATTCAAATTGTGGGCGTACTCAGTAACGAACTATGATTTAAAAGTAACAAAGTAGATTATTTTGCTTAATTTGTACATGCATAAAAAACCTTCATATTCATGACATGTGTCATGTCATGATTATGTAGGTGTCATGTCATGATTATGAAGGTGTCATGTCAGTCTTATGCACACCCCTTCAAGTAAAGTGTAACCCACTGTTCTAGTGGTTTTGGGATATTTTAATAAAAAAATCTTACATATTGTGTCTTTTAAGTAGTTTTTCAGCTATCTGAGATGTTAAATTTATGCCTCATGGGTAAACAGTGATAATGTGGGAATGGCCATTCTGCTGGGTTGATGGTAGTAAACTGTTGAATTCTGGGAAATACAGACGCCCTCATGCATTTGAGTCCCCTCTGATCTGCTCTCTCTCATCTCAGCAGGATGCTATTTTTTCCTGAGTTTCTCCTCTTTTTTGTACTTGAAGTTTCAACCTTATCTGGGGTTACTCTCTGTTTCTGACTGCAGTACCCAACATGATCAATCGTATCATCTGACAGTCTCTTTATCTCTTGCTTTATGATCTTCTGTCCTACTGTTTGAAGTCTGTCCATCCTATATGGTCATTATTTTGACTGTTTTTCCCCCAATATGTGTTTTGGTGTTGGGCCAGTAGATTTAACACTGTAGTGTCTTAAAAAGCAGTTGATTATCTTTTCTTATATATTATTTTATATTGCATCACAATTGTCTCTTTTATGCATTGTTAACCTGCCAACTGGCTTTGTTTAGGTGAGATAAAAAGAACTGCAGCATTAGCATTGCAACACTGATTGAGTAGTAGATTTTTTTCTTTTCTTTTTTGATTGTTTTGTACAATTGTTTATAAGAAAAATAATTTTGAGTTAGTTTATTTATTAATTGAATAAAATACTATTCTCTGTGCATTTATTTTATTTTTTTTTAAAGTTGGGATAAAAAACTTATATGAATATGAGTTAGTAGTATCTCATAAAACTACAAATCTTCATCTTTGGATGTTATTTCTTCCATTTTCTTCAATTTTTTCTTGTACATATTAGCTATAATTTAATATAATTTAGATTTTTTTTAACGGTCAGACATCCAAAAACAATACATCTCCTCTTACGACTATGTTTTCCTCTTTTCCAGTCGTTCCTCCTGTTCTGAGTGTGCCAGTCGGAGGGGGTGTGGTCAATGTCAGTGAGGGCGGGTCCGCAGAGCTCGTGTGTTTGGTCGATGGTAAGCCCCGCCCAACCATTCTGTGGTCCCGTGCAAACAAGGACCTGCCCATGCCGTCGGGGGATTGGGTGGTGGAAACACGCGATGGACGTTTGCGGCTGACCAATGTGACGCGGGACATGATGGGAGCGTACCGCTGCCAAACCGCTCCTTACAACGGCCTAAACATCAAACGCCGACAGGCTCAGGTGCAGCTCAACGTAGAGTGTAAGTGTTTCAGTCATCAAACAAAGTTTTGAATTGGGGAACTACTTTGAAATGATAGTTCACCAAACTGCTAAAGCTAGAAGCTAGCTACATTAAAGTGATTTACAAGTAAGCAGTGAGTAAATAGCATTTCCCCCCATGATCTGCATGAATTATCACATTCTCAGTCTCCAGCTTCTTATTTATGGGTTGACCTGTGAACACTCAAAATGATTGGCAGGCAGCACTTGAAATGGTACATTTAAATATGTAACCTAAATATCTTATATCTATATTATGTTTAGATAATAACTTATAATAATAATTCCAGATGTCTTAACTTTTTTATCAAATTTTTTTTTTTGACTTTTTGGCTGTTTATTTTATGTACACTACCATTCAAATTTTGGGGTCTGAAAGATTTTTAAAATGTTTTAAGGGTATCTTTTATTTATTTTATTTATCGGTTTCTTTCATTTAAGATTTTTTTTTAATAAATATTTTTTCTTTTTTTATTTATTATCTTTTATTTATTAGAGGCTGCATTTATTTGATCAAAAATACAGTAAAAACAGTAATATTGTGAAATAGTATTATTTTATAGAAAATTTCAAAATATTTCAATATGTAATTTGAATAAATTAATGTTATGTGCAAAGCTGAATTTTCAGCATTATTACTTCGTTCAGAAATCATTCTAATATGCTGATTTGCTGCTCAATAATCATTTATTATTATTTTTGTCAAAAAAAAAAAATTTATATTTTTGTGGAAATTTATATATTTTTTCTGGATCTTTTGATGAATAGAAAGTTTAAAAGAAAAGCATTTATATGAAATAGAAATCTCTTTATAAATTTTATAAATGTCTTTGCAGTCACTTTTTATCAATTTAATATATCCTTACATTATAAAAGTATTAATTTCTTTCAAAAGTTTGACCCCAAATTTTGAATGGTTTGTATTATCACTATTGAGGTGGATAAAATATCCTGTATCATACTCAAAAGCATGTCTGATAGCAGAAGTAAAATGACTTGTGAACAACAATGCAAGTTTACTAAGTTGGCTTATTGTTTTGGTCACTCCCTGTATTGCACAGGACATATAGTGGTTTTAACCGTAAATGCTTAAAGGGATAGTTAACCTTTAGTTGGTCCCCATTGACTTGCATAGTGTTTTTTTTGTTGTTGTTTTTTTCACTATGGAAGTAAGTGGGGACTAGCAACTGAAGGTGAACTATCCCTTTAAAGGATTTAGAGTTAAAAGGTTATCCAAAGTGTTTATAGGAAGTCCCTCTCTAGCCTTTCTATAATATCACAGAAGGATTTTATTTGTCAGTCGACTAGGCCATTGGACACATCGCACATTATTTGTCAATTGACACAGTTTGGACACATCCCAGAGCGTCTCAGACAACAGCACTCCTCTGCCTGCCTGAGAAAGGACAGTGGTAATGAAGTCTATCATGAAATTGTTTCGATCGATGGCGTGATTAGATTTGATTTGGTGCTGCACATTTTAATGTGATTTTAAACTTGATCATAATGCGATCCACTGACTGCGGATAGATTGAGTCTCCGAACGCACGACCAAACGAGCCAGAGTGACACACATTTTCCATTAAGACCCAATGGGCCATTATCAATGATTTTGATCCTGCTATTTTTAGATGCAGCATTTGAGGGCCGGCGGGAGTGTTAATGCGCTCAGATTTTCATAATGCATTATGATGCCCGCGTGGAGTGCGTTTTGTAAGTGCCAAACTAAAAAGCCTTGAATTCATTAGCGCTCTAGCTGCGCACAACCACACAAAAGATAGACGGGTTAAACCCTGAACCACTCAATGCGCATCAGCCCTTTTCACACAAGCCATTAGCGGAGCAAAGCACTCTACGCTCTCATAATGGATCCTGTGTTTATTGTGTTGCTTTAAAATGCACCATGTGATTACAGGACGATGCTGAATTTGAGTGTGCATCGGTTCATTCACTGCACAGGAGGAGCATCTGTCCGTGAGCATCACACAATGCAGAGAGCTTTTTCGAGCTGTGACATTGTGGTCAGGAAAACAGGGTGGTTGTTGGTTCAAGCCCCACAAGGTGCAGGCTGTGAACCATTACCATTGTGCACAAGGCTCTGGGCTCGGTTGCATGAAAGTCCTTAAGTAATTTGACTTAGGGGTATCCCTGAGGGAGAAAAAAATCCCTGAGGTAAGGGATTTCTTTAGGAGCGTTGCAACAAATGTCTTAAAGGGGTCGTATTATGCTCTTTTACAAAGTCTTGATTTTGTTTTGGGGGTGTACTAGTACAGGCTCTCATACTAGGTTGTTCGAAAAACACATTATTTTTCACATATTTTACATTATTACAACACCTCTCTCCCCAGTCTGGCATGAACGGCTCGAATAGTTCCTGTATCAAATGAAGGCCCGCCTTCTGAAATACGAAATGTGCTGTGATTGGTTAGCTGGGCCAGTGTGTGCTGCGATTGGTTAGCTGGGCCAGTGTGTGCTGTGATTGGTTAGCTGGGCCAATGTGTGTTGTGATTGAACTTGAAATCGCATTGTATGACCCCTTTAAATAAAATATATCCTTTTGAAGTGGACTTTGAGCTTTGTAACTTTGCAGATCTTTTTTTTACTCAAACAGCAACATTACAGACTAACTAAAGTTAAAAAAATTAAAAAGCATAATAGGACCCCTTTAACTGTCATCCTTACCTAAATGTTTATACTAAGCATTTCAGGGTATTTTCTGGCAACATACGGCAATGGGCGCCGCGGTTACTATAGTTACTACATCTCACAATAAACAGATATGTATACATATCTATGACAATAAACATAACATAATGAAATACAAACCTAACCAACTAAAACACAGACAAACATTAAATAAACATGAGCGCTTCCTTTTGCTGCTTTGTGTACAGTCGTTACCGAGGATACCGCTTTGTTTCTGCAGTGAAAGCGCCTCCTGCTGACCAATGACGGAAAATTTACCAAATGTGACCCTGGACCACAAAACCAGTCTTTAAGTCACTTGGGTATATTTGTAGCAATAGCCAAAAAAACATTGTTTGACCCTTATGACTGGTTTTGTGGTCCAGGGGGTGTATTACAGAAAGATCCTAACTTTAAAATCTTATCTTATCTGTTTGGTAACCATGGTAATTTCAGTTAGGACTAAATTGTTACTAAGGACTTTGTAGCAACACTTAAGGGAACACTTAAATAATTAAGGGGGATACTTAATGGCAGCCTTAAGGTTCCTTAAGTTGACCCATAGGTTTTTTTCTTGCAACCCGAGTTTCACTAAGGGCTCCCTTAACCTTATAACTAAGGGATTTCTTAGCATAAGAGCTTTCATGCAACCAGGCCCAGAATCTAAAGTTTATTCTAGGAGAACTGAGGGTGATTGTCCTGCACTGATAAAAAAAAAAAGGTGAATTAAAAAAATATATATATTACATTTACTTTCACTTACAAATAGTACATTTCACAGATAATTACAAAGAAACGACATTAAACACATTCAATTAACCATCATGTTGTGATCCGGTCATTTTGACCTAGGCTAGAGAGGTCAAGATTTGGTGATAAAATAGCACCAAAAAATTAAATAATTTGTATTTTATATAGGTTGGTCATTTTTGACCCACAACAGTTTTTCAGCACAGCACAGGAAATTTTGACATAGACAAACTGTAAGTGTATTGTGAAATGTACTTAATCGTTGTTTTATTTACAATTTGTAAGCGACTTGGATGTAATGTGTCTGCTATGTTGGTAAACTCATTTCAGTATCTCTTTAGATTAATTTTACTGATCATATGCTGTTTTTTTTGTCGTATTCTGTGTGACAGGGGTTGTTTCAGTGTCTCTGTTTCCATCTGGCAGACAGCGTTTAGGTAAACGAGTTTGTCTCAGGTGAGCGGAGCATGTCATTGCTCGGCCTGTGATCAATCATGATAAACGATGACAACAGCTACGTGATTTATACTGTTATTAAACAGCACAGTCAATGAATCTGCACAGCCCATACATTCAGAGACGAAGTATAAATGCTGTGCATCTGACTTAAACACAATATATCCCAACACATGTAACGCAGAGCATGCTGTGAACAAATTGAAGTTCTTGGCAAGGATTTATGGCCAGAGAAATCCCAGAATGCTGTGTTGCAGCTAAATGAGTGATAGCTTCATTAAGAGCTCATATGAATCACCCTCTCCCCCACGCATCTAAGTCTATACTCACATCCTCAGTCCCTTTGTTTCTATCTTCCGTCAATATCTCTGCCGTAACGGGCCCGGCTAATGCAGAGTATTGCAGGATGGAGGCAGTTTAGAGCCCACCGCTGTTATTCATCCCACAGCAGGTCTGATTTATGAGCCAGGTGGCTCTGCCTGTCTCTCTGGAGCTGGAGTCAGGGGGATGCTGTCTAACACCCCGTCCTGTCTCTCTGTGTCAGGAGAGACAGACAGCGTCTGCCTGAAAATGAACCACGTTTCACTGAGAGGCATCCAGAGGCTAGCAGGGTAAATCTCACAAAACCTGTAAAAAAACAGTGATATATTATTTAAATCGTGAAGCATTTGTAGTATTTGTTGCTTGTATGTTGATTTAAATAAAATATGAATACATTCATATTTAAAATATTATACATGTATATTTTTATTTAAAATAGGCTACTATGTTTTTAATTATGGAAAATTCATATTTTATTTTTTAAATACATTTACAATTATACATATTTAATTAAAAAGTAAAATTTGAAAACACACACACACACACACACACACACACATGTATATTAATTTGTGACAGTAATATACTCCTGATTAATACTCCTTATTAAAGTGAAAATGAAAATTTCCTGAAAATTCAGGAAACACCTTCAGGCCATCCAAGATGTAAATGAGTTTGTTTCTTAATCAGAACAGATTTGGAGAAATTTACCATTACATCCCTTGCTCACCAATTTATCCTCTGCAGTGAATGGGTGCCGTCAGAGTGAGAGTCCAAACAGCTAATAAAAACATCACAATAATACACAAGTAATATAAGTAATCCATAAACTGTGTGTTTGTAAACAAATCCACCATTAAACCATGTTTTTCACTTCAAATCGATGGTTCCTGCTAAAATACAACTCATCTCGTCTGAATCAGGAGAGAAATATGCACGGATCAAGAACAGTTTACAAGCGAAAAAACAGTCCAAAATAGTTCTAAACAAATATGTTGGTGGATTTTGATTTGAGTGGATAAAAGAAGATAGACTTTTCACTGCAGGAAGCATTAATATGGAATATAGAAGCACTCAGTATTAATGATGGGTTTGTTTCTTACAAATACACAGCTTTTCGCTTCACAAGATGTTAGCTGATGGACTGGAGTTGTGTGGATTACTTTTGGATTATTGTGATGTTTTTATCAGCTGTTTGGACTGGCACCCATTCACTGCAGAGGATCTATTGGTGAACAAGTTATCTACATTTTTCAAATCTGTTCCGATTCCGAAGAAACAGACTCATCTCCATCTTGTGTCTTTATTTTCAGTTTGTTTTATCTTCACGCTATTTATCAGTGTTGTTGGGTGACTGAAGCCCATGCTGTTTTGGTTACAGACACGTGTCCTCTCACATGAGACGGATGATTATAGTTTGTTTATGGGAACTGTTGTGTTGTGAAATTAAAATAGTCTGGTGTAAACTTCATTATGGGAATAGATGAGAGAAAATCACATCTTTCTGTTGAGCTTAGATAAATGTTTGTCACAAACTGAGTTGAAATGCAACACTGATGATCGCCCTGTCACATCAAGGGAATTTATAATGCTCTATACTGTACAGTATCATTCACGGCACCTTTTGTTATGCATTTCCCAACTTTACATTTTTTTTTCTGTCGTGTCTGGGTCTGTTATTCATATTTTATTATACATGTATATTTTTATTTAAAATAGGCTACTATGTTTTTAATTATGGAAAATTCATATTTTATTTTTTAAATACATTTACAATTATACATATTTAATTAAAAAGTAAAATTTGAAAACACACACACACACACACACACACACACATATATTAATTTGTGACAGTAATATACTCCTGATTAATACTCCTTATTAAAGTGAAAATGAAAATTTCCTGAAAATTCAGGAAACACCTTCAGGCCATCCAAGATGTAAATGAGTTTGTTTCTTAATCAGAACAGATTTGGAGAAATTTACCATTACATCCCTTGCTCACCAATTTATCCTCTGCAGTGAATGGGTGCCGTCAGAGTGAGAGTCCAAACAGCTAATAAAAACATCACAATAATACACAAGTAATATAAGTAATCCATAAACTGTGTGTTTGTAAACAAATCCACCATTAAACCATGTTTTTCACTTCAAATCGATGGTTCCTGCTAAAATACAACTCATCTCGTCTGAATCAGGAGAGAAATATGCACGGATCAAGAACAGTTTACAAGCGAAAAAACAGTCCAAAATAGTTCTAAACAAATATGTTGGTGGATTTTGATTTGAGTGGATAAAAGAAGATAGACTTTTCACTGCAGGAAGCATTAATATGGAATATAGAAGCACTCAGTATTAATGATGGGTTTGTTTCTTACAAATACACAGCTTTTCGCTTCACAAGATGTTAGCTGATGGACTGGAGTTGTGTGGATTACTTTTGGATTATTGTGATGTTTTTATCAGCTGTTTGGACTGGCACCCATTCACTGCAGAGGATCTATTGGTGAACAAGTTATCTACATTTTTCAAATCTGTTCCGATTCCGAAGAAACAGACTCATCTCCATCTTGTGTCTTTATTTTCAGTTTGTTTTATCTTCACGCTATTTATCAGTGTTGTTGGGTGACTGAAGCCCATGCTGTTTTGGTTACAGACACGTGTCCTCTCACATGAGACGGATGATTATAGTTTGTTTATGGGAACTGTTGTGTTGTGAAATTAAAATAGTCTGGTGTAAACTTCATTATGGGAATAGATGAGAGAAAATCACATCTTTCTGTTGAGCTTAGATAAATGTTTGTCACAAACTGAGTTGAAATGCAACACTGATGATCGCCCTGTCACATCAAGGGAATTTATAATGCTCTATACTGTACAGTATCATTCACGGCACCTTTTGTTATGCATTTCCCAACTTTACATTTTTTTTTCTGTCGTGTCTGGGTCTGTTTTTCTTGCTTTCTTTACTCACCATGTTTATATGTTTTGAATGCATTCAGCATTTTTTCTTTGTCAACAAATAATCAGTGAAAGGAGATACATTTCGGAAAAGTCCAAGAAAATATCATATGAGCTGTTTTATTCAGTTCATCATGTATAATGAATATGCATAATTTATAAGTTCATGCATTCCCATGGGATTTGAACCCATGACCCTGGCGTTGCTAGCACCAGTGCTTTTTTATTCATTTTCTTTTAAGTTTGCCTAAACTCTTAGCAACATTTGGGACATGTCTAAATGCATTTCATTTCTGGAAATAAATTCAAAATAAATATACAAAATGTATCAAAGAATATAAAATGATTATGAAAATGGGGGATACAGCCAAGTACTCTTTTTGTTGTTGATAATGAAAATTATTTAATAATTAAAAACTTTTTTTTTTTTTTTACTACAAAGATTTGTGCCACTTATGGAATGGTTTGGCTGGAGCTCTAGTTCTCTCCCACGCTGTTTGTTTTCTTTGTCTCAATTCCAAAGCACAAACCAGAGAACCTTGTGGGAATTTTAAATGGGTTTCATTGTGATCATTTTGGCAGTGTTTGAATTAGTGTGAACACAACTCAGTGAAATCAAATTTGACCCTGTGTGCTTCTTTAATGCACAGACCTGGTCTTGTTTTACCGTATTTGTTGCAGATGAACAATGAAAAATGTTTGTCTTTGTTTAATCTGGTTTATAGTTTAATTTTTCATCACCATGTGATAACTTGGTGAACCTCTGACATGACTTTCTTTTTTCAATATGAGATGCCATTCACAAGCCAAATTACTTCTTAATAATCTAACATATTTATATGTCATGTTTATATTTATATAAGTGAAACGGGAAAGGAAAAATGTATTTTATCCATCAGTAATTGGTTGGATCTTGGAAAATGGGTATGATAATCGTTCTGAATGTTATGTTGGATGTCTATTTCAGAGGATTGTCTATTAAAGTTAACATTCTGTACAACCAACGAGTTTGTAAATCAGTCTGAAGCTAATAAGGTTTTTTAATTATATTGTCATTGAAAGCATTGAATTCAAGTTCATAGAGTTAATTACACCCTGATGCTTTGTCACAGTTTCTGCACATTATTAGTTACAGTAATGTACTGTTGATGTATGCCTGAGGTGCTGTGATGCTAATTTGCAGTCACATCACTTCATACATGCGGAGTGTCTAATCAGACCCTGGTAGACTGTAATTAGTCACTAGCTCTAGCACACTATATAGATTGATTCCGTGCAATTAGCTGAGACAATGTGGACCCCATCTTATTGATTCAGGTAGTAGCTTGCAATCTGTCATCTGAACGTCGTCGGCATGTGCGATGGGTTCAAGCATTGTGTCCTAAGTGCTTTGGTGTGGTTTGTTTGGGGCTTCGTTTCCAGTAAAAATCTCAAGAGTGGTCAGTTCAATTACTGTTCTTTTCCTTTAATTGATTTTCGTCCTGTTAGTGAAGAAAAAAACGCTGTTTGAGAACCATTTTCCCAAAAAGTGATCTGTGATAGAAGTCAAAATGTCAGCACAGCTGACCAAAACAGATGCAACTGATGAAAAATGACTGTAAAATTATAATTGTACTTAAAATATTCACCGAAAATGTAGAAAAAACAATCAGGCTATAATAGTCTTTCTTTCTCCACCAGACCCTCCTGTTGTGGATCCAGTCCTGCTGGATGTCCGTTCTCAAACGTTTTCGACAGTCAATCTCCGATGCCTGATTCTCAAGTCCAATCCAAACCGAATATCCAGCACCCGCTGGTATCGCAATGGACTGCCCATCCGAACCCCAACGGTAGACCCTCAAAGTGTCCCTCAGCTTCGCTTCAAACTAGACACCACTAATAACGGCACTTACGAGTGCAGAGTGAGCAATGGAGTCGGGACCTCAACCTGCACCTTCATTGTGTCTGGTGAGTTGTAAAAAACTGTATGTACGTTGGGTGCTGTACCTTACAGAAAAACTTTAACCTAAAAAATAGATGAGTATTATGTGGGAGAATTGATCTTCATGCTTTCCCATACATAGCCTTGGGTCTACTAGTCTTGCTATAGGAGGGTTATCAAACTTTGTCAAGAGTCAGAAGTCATACTTTGTTTGTCTTGTTATTCCTGTTGTTTGAGCACAAGCAGTCTGGTTTATTCAATTTTATCTGTGCTGTAGAAATCCTGGTCATACCAGTAAAGGTGGCCAGTTGCATAAAGTAGTCTTACAAGTTAGTCATCTAACTTTTGTCTTTAACAAGAATGATCTAATTTGAATCTGAAAAGTAAGACTGATGACCCCTGCTCATTGGCAAGACTAGTTATTCATAGTCAACTAGTTTGGCCAAGCCTACTAACCTTAACCGTGATGGCCAAGATGGTTTGCCTGGAACCAAAAGCTGCTAGCATAGATGATCAACTATTTAAAAATGTAGCATTTGATTTATCCCAGCAAATCGGATCTTTCAAATAGTTTCAGTGAACCATTACAAAAATACTATTTATGCCTTCCGATACATCATAACATGGTTTATTAAGACTTGTTAATAAGGGACTTTATTTAATATAAACCTTTATGAAATATAAAACAGGTTTTGTGAACTTGTTCAACTGATTCATTGACCCGACTCAGAAGAACAATACTTTCAGACATCTTTACAACTGCCTAAACCAGCTTGGATAACCTAAAGACCACAACTGACTAGCTTGGACCAACTAAACCATATGAAACCACTATGATCAAGCTGGTTTAAACTGGATCTTCCATCTGGCATTACATAATCAGTTCTGCTTGCTTTGCTGGAAAGTGAATAGCATTGAAATGAGAATTAGCATATTTTGTGTGAAAAACGTCTGTCACTCACTCCTTACAGTTGAGTTGGCAGCTTTGTTAGCTACTACGCTAGTTGATGATGTGCTGTAGAAATCTGCCAAGAAAGGCCAGACGGTGATGTGGCACCATACAGTAGACTTCCAAAAGGCCCAGGTATTTCTGTTCTCTCTCTGAGGAGAAAAACTGGCTGCCGTCTTGCAGACTTGTAAGGTTTTTCCTTCTCAGTAGGGTCTTATCTTTAGCTTTGCCAGCACATCATGACAGCTGAGGGGTGCTAATGCTAATCAGCTAGTTCTATCGCCACACTCTAATATGACTGCTGTTATACTGTAGGCCTTTTAGCTGCTATGCAACATACAGATTTGGTAATATGGTAAAAGGAATTGTGTTACAACGTTTAGCATTCTGTTGTCTTTACTCTGATTACTATGAAAAGCATTTCTGATTAAATGTACCCCAGCTAACAAAATTATGTTTTCAGAAGGTTTGCTAACGTTCCCATTAAGTTATGAAAATGTTATTTCTGAATGTTCTCTAAATATTCTCTGAATGTTCAAAATGTCGTTTAAAAAAAAAAAAAAAATGTTGTGCATATTCAATTACTACTGTATTTTGGTTTAAATGATGGTTACCATAAGTTCCTGTAAGGGACATAGTAACAGCCAAAAACATAAAAACTGACTTCAACACAGCATAGCTGCTTACAATTGCATTTTGTCCTCACAAAAATGACTTCAAATATATAATTTATCTAACATCTGTGGCGAAGAGCAGGCAAAAGCACGCACATCGATCTCAATGCAATTTCCGTTTGGTGACACTAAATTAAACCGTTCTCATTTAATGAAATGCTTGTTTTTCATTGATGCTCTAGATAATTGGTTCTCACCCGGTGGGTCGTGACCCAATAATGGCTTTTTTTCTGCAATAATAAAATACAATTAACTATGCATACCTAGAATGGCAAACAAATTTACCACATTGTCTTTAATGTAACAGCTATGTCTAGAAGCAGAACCACTGCTATTTCAGTTGAATATCCACCTTATTTTTAACATATTTTTAACAGTCCAATATGCTGCTTGATATTGCAAACTGTTATTTTCTCATCGAATAATTTTAATGCATTGGCATAATTATAAATATGCCAGTTTGTAGTGCAGATAGTTTACTGCAATCGAAAGGAATCGAAAGCATTGCACATTCACGGGAAATAACTTACTTCCTCATTGCAAAATAAGGTGGCTAAGATGGTAGTAGTTTATCTTTTTAAAGTATTTGACTAATTAGTCATACTCTGTTTTGGTTTGTTTGTTCATTTAGCTCAGCCGTATAATGCAGAGTTTTACTACGACACTCCAAACCCCATTCGCACCTTGAAGAACAATTATTCCTACATCTTACAGTGGACACAGAAAGAGCCCGGCGCCGTGGACAAAATCATCGGCTACTGGATCAATGTCCAACAGGTAAAGCAAACACCCACAGACACTGGAAGCTTAATATTTACTGCTTCTTTCTTTCTTTCTTTCTTTCTTTCTTTCTTTCTGTGTTGGCTCGGTTGGAGGTGGATGAGTAGAATAAATGTGTTTGTAATAGGAGTCAGGGGAATAGTGTGCTCTATGTAGGAGCAGACAGCGGATCGATCACTGCTTGTACTGCATTAAAGAGACTCTCAGAACCCCACCGGCCCAACACAAGAACACACAAGCAGCCTGATTGGGTCTGTATTTCATCCCTGCTGGGAAAAAACCAGCTCATACACCCTAAGGTGCTCTTTTAAAGAACGTGGTCAAGCAGGTCCCCACCAGTTTGTAGTCTATGTGATAAACAAAGAGTTTGGATTAAAATACATTGTCGCTAGAAGCCATTCTTAGGTCATGTTTCTTCTCTAACAGTGTCATTCATGAAGTAAATTGACTTTTAGGGTCGACCTCATGGGACGAAAATATTGGTGTTAACACAAATAAATCGCAAATTGAAGTTGCATATTTATAGCATGCTCAAACCTATTGTGTTTCGTAGCTTGAGTTCTCATCCACAGAGATGAATATGTCCTCATTGTGTCCATCGCACTCGACTTTGCCAGATGGGATTGGATGCTCATGTATAGCTTACTTTATTTCACACCCAATCAGCTGTAATTCACACAGTTCCTGCCTTTTGACCTTCGTCCCTGAGTCAGCAGTGTTAAGGCCGCATGAATATCTGCTTTGTATTTCTGTACATAACCACCATTTGTGCCCCCCCCCCCCCCCAGTCTT